TGGTTAAACTCGTGCTTAGATATTACTTCATAGATTCAATCACCAGTAATTCTAAGACCATAATATATTATATTCTTAAAACATATATATATATATATATATATATATATATATATATATATATATATATATATATATATATAAGTCATTGTTTATGAATATGTTCTAAATTGGTTTGCACCATTGCATCCGTAACTAGATGTCATAAAGTGTGCTTCCATGTATGACATGATATGTAAAAGGTATCATTATATAATCAAATTTTATCAGTTCCTTTCACTAATTAAGGAAAGGTGAAATCTTTAGGCCCCTTAATGATTTGATGTTGACATTGTAGTACTCGGCCCAACCAGGACTAAATTTATGTGTTTAATTCGTAGACTAATGACGTCATCACAAATTGACAAATCAAGTAACAAAATTTTGCACAATGAGATTGATTTATATTCATATCTTATGTTCATACGATACCTTGAAGAATGTATGGATAGTTGATCGCTCAACTTAGGAATAACATCTAATTTATTCAAAGTTTGACAGTGAATCTAAAGCATTCTTTATTGGTTATTCATAGAATATACTTGCAATTGTAGTCTGCGACTTATCCAAGTGGGAGATGATTGGGTTAATTATCTAAGGTCCTAACTAAATTGGTATAATCTTAGTGAATAAAAGAGAAATATTTGATTTATTAATATATTATATGACTAATATCTTAATTAGAAATAGTTAATAATTAATTGAGATTTAATCAAAATTAACTAAAATTAATTTTGGATTAATTAGAATTAATAAAAAGGTGCAAGAATTGAATTGTAATTGTATAATAATTTAGCAAGGAAAGCAATTCTAGATTCTTCCATCCATAGATGGTTTTAGGGAGTTGTTGGAGGAGTTATAGAAGCCTCCTAGATCAAATAAGGAAACAATATTTGAATCATATTAAAATACTATTATTTAAATATTCAAATCTAGGGTTCCAGGCTTATTTTGCAGCTATATAAATTGTCATAACCCTTTAGACAAATTAATCCTTAGCCTCACTAATAGAGAAATCGGATTTCTAGTTCTCCTATCTCCATATTTTCAATCGTAGGTTTTCCTAGGGTTTTGTGTGTGACACATTAGAGGCTGACAGATTATTAGAGCTATTATTTCCAAGGATATCTACAAGAGAGTTTCTTGCATCAATTGTTTGTTGTTAAAGGTATGATTCTAACTCTAGTAGAATTTGATTTTAATAGGTTATATGTTGTTTTGAAACGTATGTTTCTATAACAAGATAAAATTACATAGTGTTCTAGGTTGCATGTATTCAGGAGGGAGCCAATTAATTTTATTAGAAAAGGCCCGTAAGTCAATGTTTTTTTATCCATTCTAGCACTAGACCTTCACCTACACCACCTTTTATTAGAAAAGGCCCATAAGTCAATAGTTGTGGAACCCGAGGAGGAGATACGTGAGCACTACCCACAACTATTTGGCATAAAAGGTTTCAAGGACGAAATCTAACTCAAGTAGGGGAACATTGTAAAATCCTTATTTCACGTACGTTTAATTTCTTGGTTCTATTTTGCTTATTCGCTGAAAACTAAAAGTAGGAGGTTTGTCACTGAGCGCGGTGCGCCTAGGCTCATGGGCTAAATGTCTTTTTAGCATTTTGGGGCTATATAAACGCAATTAAGCCTCTAGGGTTGGATCAAATACAACCTTCTTCACCCGTAAATAGTGTTTCTAGAAACCCTGGCCCTTCTGCTCCCATTTTATGTTTGGTTTCACCCTGAGAGCTTATCTTTCTTTGATTTGTGCATGAAGCTTGAAGATCACTATTCTTTTTAGACCATTGAAAGGAAGAACAAGTATAGATCCAACAAGTTTTCACCTTCATGTTTGCTAGATTTTGCTTATTTTCCATTTTATGCACTTTTGGTCTCAATTTGGTGGTGAGCTTGGAGATGAGATGACTCCAAGTGCTTTTGCACACTCAGGGTTGTTATATGGACCGTTTTGACTTGGAAATTATATCGAATAGTTTTACTTTATTTTTTAAAAATAAAAAAATTTACTCTATATTTTGGGACGTTACTTGGATTTGTCATTATATATATATATATATATATATATATATATATATATATATATATATATATATATATATAAGCAACCCTAATCAGGGGACCTACTCAGTAGTTATACAGCATAGCAATTCCCTCCATGATTTCAAGAAGGAAATCTCACCACTAAACTGGTTACAAGAGTTCAGATAGCCTACTATCCATATAACATGTGTGCAATATCAATCAATGTATATTTTATGAAGTGACCTGTATAAAAAAAATTTCGTTTAGTGATGATTGGGATATGACCATGTTTTTGTGCAACTGTTCACTTCCACTAAGGCTATCTCCAATGCATTGAACTCTTAAGAGTTCAATGGATTGACACATCAACATTCCACGAACTATATCATTTAACTTATTAAACTCTACACTCCATTAAACTCTTAAGAGTTCAATGGATTGCCACATTACCATTTTAATTTTTTTATATAAATAATATTAATAAATAAAACAAAAATATTACATTAATTAAAAATTAAAAGATAAAAATAAGATGTTATCTTTTTTAAATATTTTTAGGATTTATATACTTTTTATTGTTTAGAATAAAAAATTATAAATTAACTTAATAAATTAAATTATTGAATATAAATAAAATGAAGTATAAAACAAAAAATAATAATGTATAGTTTGTTTTTTATAAAAAAAAAATTAAGTAAATTAATTTTCAATATAATAATATCTATTTTGTACATAAATTGAAAAAAAATAAAAAAAATAAAAGAATAAAAAAAAACATTCCCATACCACTATTGAATAGGGATTAAACTCCTCATTCATTCAACTTCACCCAAATGCTCCATTCAATGCAACCTCACCATTTTTTATCCATTGAACCCTTCATAAAATTCCCATTAGAGATGGCCTAACATAGAAACCTTAAAATTCATTGATTCTCATATAGTATACCCGTGATACAGCATTAACAATCTTTAGCATCGAAAACTACTTCAAGCTTGTTTTTCGCTTATTTCGTGATTCTAATTTCATATCTCTCTTTAACATATTTCATTTCCAATGCTATCTTCATATCTTCTTTATTTTTGAAAACTAAAATTGTTTGACGGTTATTTAGAGTTAAAACGATGGTCCTTAGTGTTATGATTATTAGATTGAGTTTCACCATAATCCAACATACGTTCATATTTTCTAATGGTTTCCATTGTGGATGTACGTTTACATTATCTATCAACATAAACAAATTTTCTTAAAATTTGGTCAATTCATCTGCGTCATTTGGAGGCCCATTGTAAGCAACTTCTTTGCATTTACGCTGCCATGAACATCTTATAATTTCACATTGTAAGTACTTGTGAATTGTATCCGGTGTCTAGTAGATTTACAAATTGTCAGTATGGGAGCCATATTTGTAACGACAATAAAAACCGAAATTTATCAAACTCTAACGGAAATGGGCTTAAGTAGTAAAAGAAAAGAATCTGGAAATTCACCTCTATTATTAAGCTTTAACTATTAAAAGAAGAAATTAATAACAATCTTAAACTAAATCTCAAATTCTACCATCGATGAGGGTAAAACGTAGAAGAAGAAAAAAATTATATTGTTGTTGGTCATTTACGGTTCACAAAATTAGGGGTTACAATTTATTACACGACACGACACGACAAAAATACACGAAACGAAACGAAATTATGATGAAACTGAAATTTCAATTCGTTTTCGTGTCGTGTTCGTGTTAACTGTAAAAAACACGATGCCGTGTCGTGTCATATTCATGTTCAAAATTCGACATGAAATTGACACGATTTAGTAGTTCTTTATCGTGTTTTTCGTGTTTTTCATGTTTTTCGTGTTATATTTGACAAACTGTTTATTAAATAAACTAGTTTTTAGTAATATTATATTTGTCGTGTCGTGTCGTGTTTGTCGTTTTTTTTTATTTTTTCGTTTTTTGTGTTAGTTAGAAAAAACACGACATCGTTTCGTGTCATGTTCGTCATACATAAAACATTATAGTGTCGTGTTGTATCAGACAGAAACACGAAACGATAGCAGGGTTTGCAACCCCTACACAAAATAATACAAGAAATAAACTATTCCGGATCCTACCATCATGTTTATGATCTTACATATAAAACCATTCTATTGCAATCCAGTAAAGTTTTCATAGATAGGGTCTTAGAATTTTACAATCCTACCATTAGAATCTCAATCATGATGATCTTGTGTATTTGTAATTTAAAAATGTTAATTATTATATCTGTTAAACCATTGCATGGTTAATGTCTATTTGTGTAAATTTAAGCAGCGATTAAGTTACATGAAATTAATTCCATGTAGACAAAAGATGTTGAAATCCTTGAGTTGCTTTGTGAATTCTAACGGTATTCATGGATTACAAAACAAATAAAGGAGTTGAAAGAAATTGAACTTCAATTTGTATAGAATCATGTGATTGTGTTGCATGTTCAATACCTTAAATTTAAAAAGTCAACACTCCAAAAAGATGTTTTTCAATTTCCAATAATTCAAAAACACATGTTGAACAAGATTAAATATAACAATTACATGTCCAATATATTTTTTATTCACCTGAAATATTCTGAAAATAATAATAATCAATTACAACAAAATAATCAAACGTTCAAAAGCCATTATCTTCTGATTTAATAATTTATAAACAACCTAGTATCACAATATATCGTTTATAATAAACCTTCTCTTATTAATTTTAATTTTAATACTCAACAAAATAAACATTCTATCTGGTGTAATCGGATATTCAAGCGAATAGTCAAATGACATTAACACTTCACCAAAAATATTCCAAATTGACGTGCAATCCTCACCAATTACCCACCTAAAATCCTTTCACAAACAAAAATAAATGCATTTGGCAACACCTTCAACGCCTCTACAATGGCAATTTATCACCGGAAACTGTTATCGGAACCAGATTCCAACCAAACCATAGACTGTTCCGGCTGTGGTCTAAACTGCCCATACGACTGCGACTACGTAACAATCTACTGGCCACCACAATTACCACCGTCATCAACCACCGCTGACGACAGCTCCACCACCCATATCTCACCTTATGTCATCGTCATAGTCGCCGTGATTGCCAGTGCAATTCTGTTTATCAGCTACTACCTTATCGTGAAAAGATATTGTGTTCGATTCCGTCAACCCTATCCCACCCAAGTCAACCAAGAATCACGGGACTTTATGAACGAAGATCATCAGCCGGAAATTGATCACCCCATCTGGTACATCAACACCATCGGCCTCCAACCGGCGGTGATCAGATCGATTGCGGTGGTGAAGTTTAAAAAAGGTGAGAGCTTGATTGACGTCACGAATTGCTCTGTTTGTTTAAGTGAGTTTGAAGATGATGAATCTTTAAGGTTGTTGCCGAAATGTAACCATGCGTTTCATATACCTTGTATTGATACCTGGTTAAGATCGCACACAAACTGTCCTCTTTGTCGAGCGGCTGTTTTGGCTAACAACTCAAGTAATAATTTGCAATCAAATGATCAAAATGGAAATCGTATTCATGGATTTGGTTTGAATCAAAATACCCAGATGGAAAATGGTGAAAACGATGGTGAATTGGGTTCGATCGGTGTTGAAGAGATTGGGATTCGTGAAAACATGAGAGAAAGAGGGAATAATAGGGTTGAGATTGAAGATGGAAACAAGGAAATTCAAGATTCTAAAATAGAGATTGAGAGTATGAGTACACTAAGAAGAGCGTTTTCTATGGATTCAAGTGCCGAAATTGTACATATGGAATTGAATTCGAGAAATTTAAGTAGCGAGATGCAGAGTTCAAACCATATAAGAGATTCAAGAACAAGAAACATGGTGACGATGAGATCATTTTCATATGGTGGGAGATCGATCATGTAATTTGTAAATTTATAACAATTTGGTATTTTTCCTTCTTTTACAGCCAAGGTTAGGGTTTTGATTTTTATGAGCAATCTCCTTCAAGGATACTGAGAAAATGCTCAAAAGAATAAAGTTTGGTGATGTTTATAGATGGAAATATGATAATGTGTATAAATATTTATCAAGAAATATATACTTCAAAATTTTTAACTTTGTTTCTCTGGTAAAATATTTATTTATGCAACAATATTCCATATCTTTGTCTTTATGTAAAGATTTTGGTTTTTACTTAGAATCTTTATATCCATCTATTGTTTATATTCTTCGATGTTTTAAAAAACTAGTTTGAACCGGCCGATAGAAACGGTTATATCGGAACCGGTGAAGAAAGTCGATCAACTATCACCGATTTTATGTCTATATTTCAACCGAAATTAACAGATCATTTTTTATAAAAAATATGGTTTAATCAATTAAATTAAACCGGTTGAACTAATTAAATTAAATAAAAACACATGAAAATAAAATCATTTTAATAACAAACTTTTTTTTTACATATATTTAGATTTCTTTGAATAAAAACACATAGTAAATGTTATAATTTTTTTTTAATGTATTTGTATTCAACTAAAACTATATTTTGTTTCTGTATTATACTTTATTTTATTTTTTATGTATGTGGATTGATGTAAAACTTATAATTATGTGTTTTTAATATATTTAGATTGATCTTCAAATTGTATTTATATATTTTTTTTAATTTTTAAACTTGTAAATATCTATGTATGTGTAGGAAAAAATAGAAAAAAAAGATGAAAATTATAAAAACGGTTGAACTGACGTTCAAACCAGAAACTGATCAAACCATACCGGTTCAACTAAAAAACTTGTTTTTAAAACATTAATATTCGTTGGACTATTAATAAAAAAAGTGTGTGTGTGTGTGTATACACACACACGCACTAGCCGTTTACCCACGCCAAGTGACAGGTACAAATAATTTGTTTCTACAAATACTTTCTTCTCGGGACGAAAGTCCTTTGGACCATATATTTAAGACAAAATTGCAAGAATTGTCCCTGTGGTTAGGTCGAAATTGCCACTTTGGGCCAAACAGGTTTGGATTAACACTTATAGTCCAAAGATTTTCATTTTCTTGCCACATTGGTCCAATTTACTTTAAATTTTTTAATAATAACCATTTTACCCTTTCCTTTTATTTTTTCAGTTTTTTTTATTATTTATTCAAATACTTTTACTAAAAGAAAAAGCAAAAAGAAAATACATTTCTCTCTCTCTCTCTCTCTCTCTCTCTCCCTCTCTCTCTCCCCCCCCCCCTCCCCCTTATGGTAGACCACCACCATCGCTGCTAAATCTATCCAACACTTCGTCTGCTTCACACATCTTCATCCTCTATGAAGGTCTCATCCAGATCATTCCTCAGTCTAGCCAGGGTTGGGGCTGCTCGTGACCCACCACCGCTTTTCCTCTCAAACTAGCACAACCGTAGGCTCAGAAATAGTCGTAGCATCAAAGGGGGCACGTCTCCCGCAATGTTCCCTACCATCGATAAAAAAAGAGGAAGCAGTTTCGAAAACCCTGAACCGTCTTCCCCTAAAGTTACCTGCATTTGTCAGGTTAGGATGAAGAGTAAGAAGAAGCACACGAAAAATCTGAGTTTATCAAGACGACAAAGCACCGACGAAGTTAGTTTTAGGAGATTCTAGCATTCCGGTAATGGGTTCGGTAGTCAAAGTGAAAATCTTGGTTCTAATCAAGAGTGTTTACCATTGCAGAGGAATAATCAGAGATGGGTTCATTTACCATTGACGATTTGTGAAGGTTTAAGAGCGTTTGGGTCTGAGGTAAGTTGTTTGTTTCCGTACCGGTCTTCGTGTTCTTCAATGACGGCGATAAAGAAAGAGGAAAAAATGGTTGGGGAAAATAGCCAGGGGTCTTGTGGTGCGGTGTTTGCACGGTGGTTGGTGGCATTGCAGGGAGGTGATGGAAGTGGAAGAGATGCCAGTGGTGGTGAGAGAGTGGTTGAGTTAATCGCCGGAGACGATGATGATGAGAATGAGGAAATTGATGAGATGGGTATTATGAATTCAAGAAGACATGTATTTCAAGACTTGGAGATTGTAAACGACATCGTCTTTGGGACAATCGATTAAGCTAGGGTGAGCACTTATGTACCACCTAAAAATGCTTTGTTGTTGATGAGGTGTAGATATGATCCTATGAAGATGGAAGCTCTCACGAATCGATTCTGGGAACCAAATATGGAGAAAAACAATGAGGAAGATGAAGATGAAGATGAAGAATCTTGTAAAAATGAAGAGAAAATTGAAGAGAGCGTAATTCCTGAAAATCTTCAGCAGAGAGAAAGAGAGAGAGAAAGAGAGAGAGAGGGGGGGAGAGAGAGAGAGAGAGAGCGAGGGGGGTGGAGAGAAATGTATTTTCTTTTTTCTTTTTCTTTTAATAAAAGTATTTGAATAAATAATAAAAAAACTGAAAAAATAAAAAGAAAGGGCAAAATGGTCATTATCAAAAAATTTAAAGTAAATTGGACCAAAGTAGCAAGAAAATGAAAACCTTTGGACCGTAAGTGCTAGTCCAAACCTGTTTGGCCCAAAGTGGCAATTTCGACCTAAGCACAGGGACCATTCTTGCAATTTTGTCTATATTTAACGAAAAAAAGGTTCAGGTCAAAATCTAGAAATCTAAGAAACCACAGGTGTAACAACCCGAAGTTGTTCATCGCCAAAACCCGTTCTACCCGAGAAATTCACCGTTATCAAATTCGTTCTATGTTCACTTTGGGTTAAATTATTTAAACTTATATGTTCATTATAATTTAATGAGTGTCCAAACCCCTTGGGATTCATGAAATTAACCCAAAAGTGTTTATTCCAAAAAGTTATAAACGTTCCCGCCGGGTTACGGTAACTTAATCGGGTGCGACCTAAAGCCCCATTTAATGTCAGTATCGGGTAGAATTCCACCGTGTCCAAGCTTTAGGACCTATATAAACGTGTTTAAGCACCCATTTGAAGCTTTTTCTTCCTCTCTCTACTCTCTCTCTAACCTCTCTCCTAAATCCAAAGTTTAAGGGTCCAAAACTCAATTTTAAGGCCTCAAATCCCTAAGGTACCTTCCTAACCTTAATGTATAGCATCTTTGACCTTCAAATTCGAGATTTAATCATGATTTAAGACCTTGTATATGAGTTTACGGCCCTGGAAGGAGCTTAGGCCGTAAACTCATAATAAGTGGGTTTTTATGCCTTTAAACCCCTCCTAAACAATTTTGGGACTTAGATATGGCTTAAGGACTTCATGGAATGGACTTATAATATTTAAAACATGGATTTTGAGACATTTTAAGGAGTTTACGGCCAAGGCACATGCTTGGGCCGTAAACTCATATATGTGGGGTTTTTATGACCTTAAACCCTTCCAAAACCTCAACAAGACATGGATATGACTTCTAGAATAATTGCTTTAGCCTTGGAACACTTTTAACATAAATTTTGGGGGATTTATATGAGTTTACGGCCAAGGCATGTGCTGGGGCCGTAAACTCCCCAAACATGGGTGTAAACTCACTTCTAAGGTGTTAGAAAGCCATCCAACACCACCAAAAGCCTTGGAATAAATCATAGAACCAACCAAAAATAGTTTAAGGACCATAAACAGAACAAATCTCATCATTTGAGAGTTTACGGCCATAGCATGTGTCCCATGGCCGTAAACTCCAAAAAGTGTGTCATAATGTGTCCCAAATTCATTTCAAGGTTTTAAGGAAATTTTAGAAATACATACAAACACGTTCTTGGCTTTAAAACATAATGAATCCCTCTCTAGGAGAGTTTACAGCCATGAGGGGGGTCTCATGGGCCGTAAACTCCAAAAACCCCTTCAAATCATCAAGCAAATGCATGTAAGGCTTAGGAATAAATCTAGCAATCACATGTGATTAGTTTGGAATCCAAAAACACAACTTTTCATGGGTTTATAGGAGTTTACGGCCATGAGACCATGCTAGGCCATAAACTCCCTAAAATGTGTCATTTTAGTGTTTAAAATTTATTCCAAACCCTTAAACCAAACCTAGAAATTGTCCCCTAAGTGTTTGAAGTCCAAATTGCACCATAAACCACCCACCATGATTTTACGGCCGTAAACTCATCGGGAATGGGTGTTTAGGCCATAAACTCCATTTAGAAGTTTACTCTTGGGGAGTAAACTCATTTCCTAAGTCCCTCGCATCATTACATGTCCTTAAACGCTACCCGGGTCCCTCCAAACACTTGTATCAGGGTGTTTTTGCGACTAGATGTGTTTGTCCCTAACAATTAAATAATCTAAGTCCTAATTAGATACAAATGTGTATCTTTACATTATACTTAGGAACCCCGTGCGTTTGCAAGCCCCGGACCAACGTTTAGCATCCGAAATCGTCACATTTCTCGTTCGGTGAGTTCGTACCCCTACGCCCTTTTCTGTATTTTTCAATGTTTTCAGGGGGGGGGGGATACAAGCAAACTATAACTATTTTCAAATCATAATATTGATATGTTTCAAATAGATCTGAAAAACTTATAAACTCTTTTACTTCTTATGTAATATGCTGAGCATAAGGAATGATTTATCAGTTACAACTAAATGTATTTTAGTTAAGGAAATAACCAAACTAATCAAATTATTATGGGAATAATTTGGGGTTCTTTACTATTCGTTCTATCATATACTGATATCTATATAAAGTCATTAGATAAACTATGTCTGATTCAGTTTATCTCCGTATTAATTGAATGTATTGTCAGATAATTTCATTGTATGTATCTATATTCGTTGTATTACATTTCATAATCTTCTGTATGTTGATATCGTATGAGAACCCTGTGAATAGTTTAGTACTAGTTTGTGAGATAGTCACTACCCTTTATGGATGATCAGTAAATCCTCCCCGGAAGTGTAACCAGAGTCTCCTCGAGGGAGAGCGACGAATTTGTGAATAGATCTATTCGGGACTCACAATCCCACACCTTAACTGCTAGCTACAGTTAGGCGAGCACGCCTGGGGTGACAAATTTCTGGATATCTTTCGACGTCTGACTAGCGTCAAGGAGGTCTCGTTGTCGTATTAGCATGGTTACTCGACTCACAACATGTATTAATATAAGTTTATTCACAGCTTGGGTTTTAGAATCTATATCTCGTTCGGGATAATGATCCCATGGTTTTATCAACTATTTTGTATCTAGTCCGGGATAGTGATCCCATGGTTTTCAAATATATTTCTTAGTATATCAAACTATCTTGTAGTTAGTTCGGGATGTTAGTCCCAAGGTTATCAAACTACTTTCTATTTACAATTCGTGAATATTATGGTATATCATATCTAATTCGGGATGTTTGCCCCATGAATTTTAACTTTATCTTATACGGGATAGTAATCCCATGGTTTTGAATCTATAACTATTACGGGATAGTAATCCCATGGTTTACACCTATATCTTGTCCGGGATAGTGATCCCATGGTTTTCAATCTATATTTATTTCGGGATAGTAATCCCATGATTTCGGTCTATATCAAGTACGAGATGATAATCCCATGGTCTAAATCTATATCTTGTCCGAGATAGTAATCCCATGGTTCCCAATCTATATTTTCATATATATCAAATTATCTTGTGTCTAGTCCGGGATGGTAGTCCCATGGTCTTAAATCTGTATTTTCATATGTGTCAAACTATCTTATATCTCCTTCGGGATAGTGATCCCAAGATTTTCAATATATAGTTTTGTGTATTAAACTATACTTTGTGATATTCAACTGGTCTTACAATTAGGAAAATATGGGATTTTCCTGGGGTAAAATACAACACGTAATCGAATTGGTAACAAATGATAACTAAACTAACTTTACATAAGAAAATATGGGATTTTGTTGAATAACAAACCTTTTTGGAAAACTAAAGGAAACCGATACATTTTCATAAAACAAAACCGCTTATGAACTCACCAGCTTTATACTGATTTTCAAACCGCTTGTATTCTCATGTCCAAGTTAGACAGGTACCCGGTGATATCTTTTGGTGAAGACGGAGTGCTCAGAAGACTCGTCTCAACTTTTGTTAATATGATGCATATGTATATCTTGTATAACTTTACTTTTGAAACAAATGTAAACTTTCATATATATGTAATGTAATGGTTGTTTACTGTGATTACTATGTACATTGGATTTGATACACAACGTGGAGTCCACCCCGGAAATGTTTCCGCCTTTGATTTTCGGGGTGTGACAGATTGGTATCTGAGCCCTTGTTTATAGTGAACGGAGTATGCCAAACCTTACATGGTATAAAACTATAAACACTAAAGGGCCTCAGTGCTCTGAATTAAAAGTATCTTCAAAACTATAAGTATTTTCAAAAGTATACAAGTATACCGAACCTTCGAAATCCGTAACTACAAGTAGAACAAAACATAAGTAAATGGGTGTTGTACACTGCGGTTAAATCTGGGCAGTTATGTAGTCGTGTATAGGATCAATATAGCCTTGCCAACTATATTCATTCGAGACACAGCCAACATGTGCTTGGGAGTGACTGTGGTACGTAGCATGCCTAAAACTTACCCAATATCTCAAACAACGAGTCATCGCTGCAGCGAACCATGAAATACTATGGGAGTATTTCTCGAACCAATCCTTCGTAGAAAATCCTCGTATACGCGATGTTACTTGACCATTCCGCTAGCGATAAAATGTTTTGTCTTGATAACTCCTTCATGCTTTATCGCGTAGTATGATGCTATATCTGTCTTGGTGATATATCCCCTGTTCCATATCTCTTGATTCAATTCAGAGGACTTATGATCCTCTATTTCCTGATCTTTTTAGATCAAGATGCCTCCAAGAAAGAGACCCAGCTCGAAGAACAACGACAACCCTCCTCCGCCACTACCTCCTCCTCAATTTGATCTCGCATCACTTCAAACGGTTCTGACTGCTGCAATGGTGGCAGCCATGTCACAAATGAATCCCGGTGGCTCCGGAGGTGGTCCCCAGGCCCAAAACCCAGAAGACAGCCAGGAACACCGAAGAGGGATTTCCTATAAAGACTTCATGAACGCGAAACCCACATCCTTCGATGGCACTGGAG